AGTGCTGAGTCCATTCCTGACAATTACCATGGGAGGATCACTACGAAATCATTTTTTAAACCAACAGATCGGAATAGCTACATTCCCACGGATAGCTGCCACCCCCCCCCCCCCCCCCCCCCCCCCCCCCCCTGTGGCTAGCTAATATCCCGAAGGGACAGTTCACTAGGATTCACAGAAACTGTACAGATATAAATGATTACCGTCTTCAGGCTAAGATTCTGAAAAAAAGATTTATGGAAAAAGGATATAGTGAGCTAATTTTGGATAACACGATGAATGATGTGGCGGGTCTAGATAGAGATACAATGTTAGCAGATAATCTATGCGCTTCTGGTGCACCACCTAATAAGGATACGCACGTTGGCACGATTCACATTATCCATTGTATACCGAACTTTATTGAGACTTTACTATTATTATTATTTATATTTTTATTCCAAGCGCTGCACTTGAAAATTTATGTTATACTGAAGGTTTTATGTGGTTACCGGAGAGTGTATCAGCTGCTGTTAGGCCTACCGGACACTTCTACCTCCTTCCTGCTACAGGACACTTCTACCCCCTTCCTGCCTACAGGACACTTCTACCCCCTTCCTGCCTACAGGACACTTCTACCCCCTTCCTGCCTACAGGACACTTCTACCTCCTTCCTGCCTACCGGACACTTCTACCCCCTTCCTGCCTACAGGACACTTCTACCCCCTTCCTGCCTACCGGACACTTCTACCCCCTTCCTGCCTACAGGGCACTTCTACCCTTCCTGCCTACAGGGCACTTCTACCCCCTTCCTGCCTACCCGGCACTTCTCTACCCCCTTCCTGCCTACAGGGCACTTCTACCCCCCTTCCTGCCTACGGGGCACTTCTACCCCCCTTCCTGCCTACAGGACACTTCTACCCCCTTCCTGCCTACGGGGCACTTCTACCCCTTCCTGCCTACCGGGCACTTCTACCCCCTTCCTGCCTACCGGGCACTTCTACCCCTTCCTGCCTACAGGGCACTTCTACCCCCTTCCTGCCTACAGGGCACTTCTACCCCCTTCCTGCCTACCGGACACTTCTACCTCCTTCCTGCCTACAGGACACTTCTACCCCCTTCCTGCCTACAGGACACTTCTACCCCCTTCCTGCCTACAGGACACTTCTACCTCCTTCCTGCCTACCGGACACTTCTACCCCCTTCCTGCCTACAGGACACTTCTACCCCTTCCTGCCTACCGGACACTTCTACCCCCTTCCTGCCTACAGGGCACTTCTACCCCCTTCCTGCCTACAGGGCACTTCTACCCCCTTCCTGCCTACCCGGCACTTCTACCCCCTTCCTGCCTACAGGGCACTTCTACCCCCTTCCTGCCTACGGGGCACTTCTACCCCCTTCCTGCCTACAGGACACTTCTACCCCCTTCCTGCCTACGGGGCACTTCTACCCCCTTCCTGCCTACCGGGCACTTCTACCCCCTTCCTGCCTACCGGGCACTTCTACCCCCTTCCTGCCTACAGGGCACTTCTACCCTCCTGCCTACAGGGCACTTCTACCCCCCTTCCTGCCTACCGGACACTTCTACCCCCTTCCTGCCTACAGGGCACTTCTACCCCCTTCCTGCCTACAGGGCACTTATACCCCCTTCCTGCCTACAGGGCACTTCTACCCCCTTCCTGCCTACCGGACACTTCTACCCCCTTCCTGCCTACAGGGCACTTCTACCCCCTTCCTGCCTACCGGGCACTTCTACCCCCTTCCTGCCTACAGGGCACTTCTACCCCCCTTCCTGCCTACCGGGACACTTCTACCCCTTCCTGCCTACAGGGCACTTATACCCCCTTCCTGCCTACCGGACACTTCTACCCCCTTCCTGCCTACAGGGCACTTCTACCCCCTTCCTGCCTACCGGACACTTCTACCCCCTTCCTGCCTACAGGGCACTTATACCCCCTTCCTGCCTACCGGACACTTCTACCCCCTTCTTTACCAGGCCAATTTTTCAGCTTTCAGTGCTGTCGCACTTTGATTGACCATTGCGCGATCATGCACGATTGTACCCATATGAAATTTTTATCGTTTTTTTCTCACAAATAGAGCTTTCTTTTGGTGGTATTTAATCCCCGCTGGGCACTTTATTTTTTGTGCTATAAGCAAAACAATTGCAAAAAAAAATGAAGAAAAAAAAGTTTCTTTGTTTCTATTATAAAATTTTTCAAACAGGTAATTTTTCTCCTTCACTGATGTGCGTTGATGAGGCAGCACTGATAGGCAGCACTAATGAGGTGTCACGGATAGGTGGCACTGATATGCGGCACTGATTGGTGGCACTGATAGGCGACACTGATAATGGGTACTGATAGACAGCACTGATAGGTGGCACTGACTGACATCACTGCTGGGCACTGACTGGCAGCACTGCTGGGCACTGACTGGCACAACCGCTGGGCACTGACTGGCAGCACTGCTGGGCTGCACTGATAGGCACTGGTGGGTGGCACTGGTGGGCACAGGTGGGTGGGCACAGGTAGGTGGCACTTCTGGGCACAGGTGGTGACACTGCTGGGTGGCACAGGTGGGCGCACTGCTGAGCACAGGTGGGTGCATTGCTGGGCACAGGTGGGCGGAACTTGTGTGTGGCACTGCTGGGCACCGATGATCAGTGACCCTGATGATCGGTGCCGATCCCCGCTCTGACAACTGCCGGTTTTCGGCAGTACTTTCCTCACAATCCGACAGCGTGAGGAAAGTGCAGCCAAGAACCGGCATTTGCATTTCCCTGTGATCAGCGTGTCATTGGACACGGCTGATCACGTGGTAAAAGGCCGCTGTGATTGGCCTTTTACCACGTCACGTGATCAGCTGTGTCCGTAGGGTGCGCGCAGGAGAGCGCGTTCTGGGAGGACGTCATTTGATGACCACCCAGAACTGGCCGGGCCGCAGTGCAGCCGTCATTCGGCTATCTGCGGTCGGCAAGTAGTTAAACAGACAGCACTGATGGGTACTGATGAGGTGGCACTGATGAGTCTGCACTGATAGGCAGCACTGATGGGCACTGATTGGCAGTACTGATGGGCACTGATAGGCAGCACTGATGAGCACTGATAGGCGGCACTGATGATGATGCACTGATATGCAACAATGATGGGCACTGATAGGCGGCACTGATGGGCCACACTGATGTGCACTGCTGGGCGGCACTGACTGATGGCACTGCTGGGCACTGACTGGCGGCACTGCTGGGCACTGATGGGTGACACTGATAGGCAGCATTGATGGGTGGCACTGTTGGGCAGCTGTGGTCGGTGTTTGGACGGGGAAGCAGTATCCTAATGGAAGTACCCAAGCACAGCGGAGTCAGTTCCGTTACATGGGTGGCAAGCGGTGGGATTGTGCTTCCTGGCTGTGAACACGTCCAAACCACCACCGGGATCCAAGATCAGGAAAGGAGACGTCGGTCACCCCAGTGGAGATATGGACCTGGCATCAGAGTTCCCGGGGCTGCTGCTGATCGTTCTTGCAACATACCCCAGGACTGTGTCTATGGATCAGTACCTGGAGCTCAGGCAGTGGATTTGGGAGGTGCTTTGGAGTGGAGCCCTCCAGGTTGCTGGTATGGACAAGGGCAAGTGCTATCCAACCCCAGGGGAACGGGCCAGGGACCATCGGAAGTTACGGATTCCATTCCTGGGAGAGCGACCCCAGGAGCAATGGGTGACTGAGTTGGACAGGCTGGTCCAGTAGGAGATAGAGCTGGACAACCGATATCGGGCTCTGCAATGGTACGCAGAGCAGGAATATTTTGAGGTGACAACAGAATGCTCTCCAGAGGGATATGACTTTGGTGGCCCTGGATTGCTCTGGGAGAGCCTTACAGATCATTTTGTGTTTGGTGATGAAGGAGAAACTACCCTGGAGGAGTTGTGAGACAACAGAGAGGCTATGTTCGGTCTCACAGGGGTCTCAGAACTTGAACCAGATCTGGAATACCTGCTGATGAAAGAACAGGATCTGGAAAGGGCATACAGGCAACTGCTAAAACATGTTCACAGCATGCCCAAGCATCGGCAGTGGAAATTCCAGAGACGGAATTTTATAGACTTCTCTCTGCTGAGCAACCTGGTGAGCCTCCAGCAGAAGACCTGGCAACAGGGCCCAACATTACTGAACTCTGCCTAGCACTGGTAACATCTTCTGGATTCCACGGACAGGAGATGGTGAACCCCCAACCCCAGACACCAGTTCCAGAGACTGGGGATTTGATTGACTTTTCTGCTGAGGAGGAACCAGCCGTCGTGCCTCCAGCAGAAGTGCTGGCATCAGGGCATGGCGTGGTTGACCTCTGCCCACAACAATCAGCACCGCAGGAGCTACAGGAAGAGGATGCAATCAGCACCTCACAACTGCAGCTTGAGCTGATGTCCATGGATGGGACTTCGGTCTCCACTGACACAACCCCAGAAAAGGGTCTGGCATTGGGACAGGAGGATGTCAGCCTTACTTTGCAAACACAGGGGGATGTCCATCAGGTCAAAGTGGATGAGACTACAGTCACCACCTGGATACCCCAGGGATGCTGGGCAGTCGGCCCAGATCCTCAGCAGCATGATGGAGTTGGACCGGCCACCCTGTCTTCCCTCCAGCGGCTGAGAGGACTTCAGGGAGAAGGACCAGTCTGTACTTCTCCCCAGCGGCGGGTATGTTCTATGGGAGAGGCAGAGGTTGGCTGGGTGAGTAATGCTTTCTGTGGGACAATTTGCTTGGGGTACTGTGTGGGTGCTGGCATTGGGGGACTGGAAGTACAGACTAACTTCGGAGTCCACCCGTCTGGGGTTTCCTCATGTGTTAGTCTCCTGCCGAAATGGGAGATATGTGATGGGAGTCACTGTGGGTGGGGGGCCCATGGAACACAGCTCACTTTGGAGAGGTGGGGAGACCCCTGTCTCAGCTCCCCATATCCCTCTTATGTGTAAGTCACCCTGTGCCTGTTAGGGGTACAGGGTGATCTGTCCTAATATTGGGGTGGGGGGTTGTTCATTGTTTAATGCCATGTGGTTGCATCTTATTGTTCTATTGTGTGTCTTGCTTGGGAGCAAACTATTATGGGATGTATGTGTTTATGTATTGGCTTGGTGGGGGGTGTCTGCTGATGTGTTTCTTGTTGCTAGATTTGGTTTGCCCCGCCCTGTGTCCATATGCAGGGAGGGGGGTTGTTCCCTTGAATGTATATATCTTGTATCTGTGTTAAAATAAAGGAGTCTATTTCCATGGTTTCCTTCAAGTCTGGTGGTCTCCTCTAGTCTTGTATGGTCAGCAGCTGTGTTCGGGATCTGTGTTCGGACAGGAAAGCGGTAGTCTAACGGAAATACCCCAGTGCGGTCGGGGTCCGGTTCCATTACAGGGGCACTGCTGGGAACTGGTGGGTGACACTGTTAGGCACTGATGGGCACAGGTGGGTGGCACTGCTGGGCATTGATCATCAGTGCCCTGATGATCGATGTAGTGACGTCCTCTGACAATTATCGGTTATCAGCAGTACTTACAGGGTGAGGAAAGTGCAGCTGATAACCAGCAACTGCATTTACCGGTGATCTGCTCTGTCATTGGACACGGCTGATCACGAAGTAAAAGGCCGCTGTGATTGGCCTTTTACCACATCACATGATCAGCTGTGTCTGTGGGGGTGCGCAGGAAGGCGCGTTCCGGGAGGATGTCATATGACGCCCCTCCCAGAACTGTACAACCGCGCTGTAGCCGTCATTCGTCTATAGCACGGTTGGCAAGTGGTTAACATGATTTCCTATTGGACAGGTTCACATTTTGGCGTTTTCACCCCGGTGCGTTTTTTTTGGTAAGGGGCGGGACTTTAATGAAGAGACACCGAAAGAAGAAATGCAATTACGGGAGAGCATTTCTCGGGTGAAAGCCAGTGGGGACTCGTCTCGGATTTTGATCTCAGCAGTTTCTTTCTGGGAATTCCCCGCACAGGAAAGTGAAAGTAAATGTGATGTGTTGCAGAGCGTTCATTGTACGGGGTGACGCCCTGCGACTTTCAGGAAATGCCAGAGGCTGCAATGGGCTCACGTGAAGAGTGCAGATGTGACCACTAGATGCCCCCACAGATCTGATCTCCCATCCTTTGCACTGCTGACCCCTGTCCTCTGCTCTACTGACTCTTGTTCATTCCCCCGCTGATCTCCCATCCTTTGCCCTACTGTCCCCTGTGCTCTGACCAATTGATCCTTGTACATTCCCCCGCTGATCTCCCATCCTTTGCCCTACTGTCCCCTGTGCTCTGACCAATTGATCCTTGTACATTCCCCCGCTGATCTCCCATCCTTTGCCCTACTGTCCCCTGTGCTCTGACCAATTGATCCTTGTACATTCCCCCGCTGAGCTCCCATCCTTTGCCCTGTTGACCCCTGTCCGTTGCCCCACTGACTTTTGTACATTCCCCTGCTGATCTCCCATCCTTTGCCCTGCTGACCCCTGTTCTCTGTCCAATTGACCCTTGTACACTCCCCCGCTGAGCTCCCTCCTTTGCCCTGCTGACCCCTGTCCATTGCCCTACTGACCCTTGTACACTTCCAGGGGTGGACTGACAACTCATGGGGCCCCGGGCAATAAGGGATCATGGGGCCCCTGTGTCCTTGCCCACACTCAAACCACACCCAAAAAGGTACCAGGGGCATTTCATGGGGCCCCCTACTGACCCCGGGCCCTCGGGCAGTGCCCAAGTGCTCAAATGGTCAGTCCGCCCCTGTACACTCCCCTACTGATTTCCCATCATTTGCCCTGCTGACTCCTGTTCTTCACCCTACTGACCCCTGTACACTCCCTTGTCTTCTGCCCTGCTGACAACATTGCCTTACAAACTGCTCACCTTATCCTCTGCCCTACTTACCTCACATCCTATGCCCCCCCTGACATTTTTTACTGACACACACACAGATGTGAGACAGGCTGAATCCAGCCCTGGTATGCGACGCCACTGGCAGGAGCTCTCAAGGAAACACGCATACATCTGTGCAGTAAAAGGGGGACATGAATCTATGTGGAATGCATGCAGAGAAATTGCTGCAGAGTTTTGTGGAAAAGAAGAAAAGAGAAAACAACTGATCATCCCAGTGCCAAACATATATAGAATGGATCAGTATGTATGGTGCGGATAGGAATGTATAGAATGGATCAGTGTGTACGGTGCGGATAGGAATGTATAGAATGGATCAGTATGTACGGTACGGATAGGAATGTACAGAATGGATCAGTGTGTACGGTACGGATAGGAATGTATAGAATGGATCAGTATGTACGGTATGGATAGGAATGTACAGAATGGATCAGTATGTACGGTACGGATAGGAATGTATAGAATGGATCAGTATGTATGGTATGGATAGGAATGTACAGAATGGATCAGTGTGTACGGTACGGATAGGAATGTATAGAATGGATCAGTGTGTACGGTACGGATAGGAATGTATAGAATGGATCGGTATGTACGGTGTGGATAGGAATGTATAGAATGGATCAGTGTGTACGGTACGGATAGGAATGTATAGAATGGATCAGTGTGTACGGTGTGGATAGGAATGTACAGAATGGATCAGTATGTACGGTACGGATAGGAATGTACAGAATGGATCAGTATGTACGGTATGGATAGGAATGTATAGAATGGATCAGTATGTACGGTATGGATAGGAATGTATAGAATGGATCAGTATGTACGGTATGGATAGGAATGTACAGAATGGATCAGTATGTACGGTGTGGATAGGAATGTATAGAATGGATCAGTATGTACGGTGTGGATAGGAATGTACAGAATGGATCAGTGTGTACGGTATGGATAGGAATGTATAGAATGGATCAGTATGTACGGTGTGGATAGGAATGTACAGAATGGATCAGTGTGTACGGTATGGATAGGAATGTATAGAATGGATCAGTGTGTACGGTATGGATAGGAATGTATAGAATGGATCAGTGTGTACGGTGTGGATAGGAATGTATAGAATGGATCAGTATGTACGGTATGGATAGGAATGTACAGAATGGATCAGTGTGTACGGATTGTAGGTATGTAGATATATATATACTGTATGTGGTGTACTCTCACGCTATTGGCCAGCATGGGACTGAGATAGACGTTTCTTACACAACAAGAGCAGCCGAGAACTCTTTCTATGTTCATTTTATGTGATATCACCTCGGCACTCGGGGGGGGGGGGGGGGGGGGGGACTTGTTACATTTCTGGGGAGGTAATTTGTGAACTTGCGAGGGCGGTAAAACGCAGATCTCTCGGTCAGACGTGAGAGGAATACCGTCCAATAACATGAGAAGAGGTATTCCGGATGGTAAATAGCTAATTAATGGTAAAAGAATGCAGTTTAGGAAATATCGGGACAACTTTGATTAGAATTATGACTTGATCTGTCCAATCCCAAACCCGTCACCCAGAAGATCAAAGGGGATCCTAAAAGTGGCCAATCAGAGCGCTCGCCATTGTACTGAATTGAGAGAACGTGTGTATTATGGAAGCTTCATTTTGGTTGAGTTGTGACAGGAGAACGTGCGTCCTGTGAGGGATTCTGATGGTGGCATCAATATTCTAAGTACCCCGTCATCTGCCTGGTCTGTACCTGTTTATGGATTGTCGCTGGCCGAATAAATGCATCTCTCTGGAAAAGAACTGTTGGACTAGTTGCTGCGCGAAAAGTTATACAGTGAAGGAAATGTGTATTTGCCCCCCCCCCCCCCGATGGTGAATGTTGGCCCCTCACACAGAAATGATCGGTCTAACAATGGAATGTTCGCCCCTCACACAGAAATGATCGGTCTAACAGCGGAATGTTCGCCCCTCACACAGAAATGATCGGTCTAACAACGGAATGTTCGCCCCTCACACAGAAATGATCGGTCTAACAACGGAATGTTCGCCCCTCACACAGAAATGATCGGTCTAACAACGGAATGTTCGCCCCTCACACAGAAATGATCGGTCTAACAACGGAATGTTCGCCCCTCACACAGAAATGATCGGTCTAACAATGGAATGTTCGCCCTCACACAAAAATGATCGGTCTAACAACGGAATGTTCGCCCCTCACACAGAAATGATCGGTCTAACAATGGAATGTTCGCCCCTCACACAGAAATGATCGGTCTAACAATGGAATGTTCGGTGTAACACTGAGAGACAGAATACAACAACAAATTCAGCAGAAATGCTTCTAACAAATGATGACTGATCTGCATGTTCATGAGGGAAAGAAGGATTTGATCCCCTTCACAAAACATGACTTAGTACTTGGCCAATCCCTTGTTGGCAATCACAGAGGTCAGATGTTTCCTGGAGTTGGCCCCCAGGTTTGCACACATCTCAGGAGGGATTTTGGCCCACTCCTCTTGGCAGATCCTCTCCAAGTCATTAAGGTTTGATGGCTGACGTTTGGCAACTCGAACTTTCAGCTCCCTCCACAGATTTTCAATTGGATGAAGGTCTGGAGACTGGCTAGGCCACTCCGGGACCTTAATGTGCTTCTTCTTGAGCCGCTCCTTTGTTGCCTTGGCCGTGTGTTTTGGGTCATTGTCATGCTGGAACACCCATCCACCACCCATTTTCAATGCCCTGGCTGAGGGTTTGTTCTATGGATAGTTGTTACTTTTGTTGAGAGTATAAGTATTTACGGTTGCGATCCCCTATCATTCAGCAGGATTTCTGGCTCCCAGGTGTCTCTCATACAGGTAACAAGCTGAGATTAGAAGCAGTCTCTTAAAGGGAGTGCTGCTAATCTCATTGTGTTACCTGTATAAAAGACACCTGTCCACAGGAGCCATCAAACCATCAGATTCCAAACTCTCCACCATGGCAAAGACCAAAGAGCTATCCAAGGATGTCAGGGACAAGATGGTAGACCTACACAGGGCTGGACTGGGCTACCAAACTATGGCCAAGCAGCTTGGTGAGAAGGTGACAACAGTTGGTGCAATCATTCACAAATGGAAGAAACACAAAACAAGTGTCAGTCTCCCTAGGTCTGGTGCACCATGCAAGATCTCACCTCGTGGAGTGTCAATGATCATGAGAACAGTGAGGAATCATCCCAGAACTACACGTGAGGATCTTGTCAATGATCTCCAGGCAGCTGGGACCACAGTCACCAAGAAAACAATGGGTAACACACTATGCCGACAAGGAATCACAGAGGTCAGACGTTTCCTGGAGTTGGCCCCCAGGTTTGCACACATCTCAGGAGGGATTTTGGCCCACTCCTCTTGGCAGATCCTCTCCAAGTCATTAAGGTTTGTGGCTGACGTTTGGCAACTC